ATTGTAGGAAGTTGTGTAATGAATTACTGAACGGAGTTAAGTGCTACGTCTGGAAACAGACGAGAGCCACTTCTAGAGTCTTTATCGGTACCGTATCTTTTGATATTGATTGTGCTATTTGTTAAGAATTGTTTCATGAATTATTCTATTATTAATTGGTTTGTTATTCCTGTTATATTATTGAAAGTGTGAAATGTTGTGCTTAAGGTTACTTATTTTCTTAGAACCTCATTAGGTGTAAATTCACCTATTAGTTTGTTTTCCTTAATAGGCGTTGAAATGTGAAACCGAGGAATAGTGAGTTTGAGAGTAGAAGTCTTTGATACGGTATTGAACTAGCATTGGAGCACTTGGAATTCATTTGGATCAAGTCAAGTCATTTTCTTTAGTTTATGTTAGTTATGCAGTGTGTTCCCATTCTTTTGTGTCTCGTAAGTTTTTTCCAGCATTTAGTTTCACACTTGAGTCATTGGTTTATTTAAATAAATTGGCTAAGGTCATATTGACCATAATAAGCCATGTTGGCTGAATAAAGAATTATTTTTTTGAGTTCTAGTTTGATTAGGAGTGGGTCATGTAAAAGGCAATAAATAAGCTTTAGTTTTAACGTTTTTGGGAGTGGTGGATAGTATTTGAGAAAATTTCCAGATTTCACTTCTTTGTGTGAAACATTCTCTAAGGCTTGTGAAAACCATTATTGAGTATCATAGAGTTGACTTTAGCTGATCGCTCACTTATCAATCAAGCAACATACTTGATTGTGGCGTCGTTCTACACTATTCGAATCGTTCTTGTGATGTCCAAATTGGGAGTCGGATCTGCCAAATCCAAACTTTGATACCTTTCTGAAGATCGTGGGCTTGTGGGGCAATTCTAGTCTCGTCAAGGGTCTAGAAATCGTATCAGTTGGTAATCAGAGCATAGGTTCAAGGTATTAAGTTACATCCCCTTGTTTCGTGTTTTGTTTCGTTTCTTGTTTGTGTCAATTTTTCTATTGTTTCATCGTGATTTGTGTCCAATTTTGGTGTCAATTGGTAGTGGTTGTTCGTTTCTTTGTCCAGAAACAACACATTAAAAAAATTACAGCTGCTAGGGTTTAGTGATCATCACGGTTCTAGTTGTTTATAGCATCGTTCTTAGTAGCAATCTGCCGTACTCTTGTTGTTGCTTGTTTCTTTGTGTTTATGTTAATACATATTGTTTCTTGGTTGTGTCATTGCTCAAAATCAACAAAAAGAAGAAAAGTTCCAGCTGCTAGGGTTTCTTTGCTTCCTTGAGTTGTTTATTTTTTTTATTTGTTTCCTGTTATAATCTATCCAGATTTTTGTTCGTTTGTTGCGTTGTTTGGTTTTTGTTCCAATATGTCTGCAAATTCCAATCACTAGTATCTTCTGATGGTTGTGCAAATTGTACATCATTCTTGTTGACCATTCATGTCCTTTTTGTTAGTAAAACATCCCAGCAAAATTCTGGAAAAAAAAATTCTACCCACTAGGTGTTCATCTAGTCACAACCAAAGTAGAGTTCGTATTCTTGATTCTATCCACATTAGTTGTAGTTGGTTGCATGCGTCCCTTATTTCCAGCATAATATATCACTGTTGCGTTGTGATTTCATTGAAGTTTGAGTCAAGAAAACTACACACCAGTCATTAGTTCTTAGACAAAATTTCTGGTCGTGATTATTTTGGATGAAACCAAACTTGTTCTAGGAAATTCTTGATTGTTTTGTGTTGAGTTGGGAAGAAATTGGACTGATTGTGCTAAAGTTTCATGGTACCAACATCAAAACTTTAGAATTCTTGATAGTTTGAAGGCACAATCTTGGATTTTCTTGAGTCTTAGTCGGATTTCAAAGTTGGAGTGAGAACCTGAAGTTTGTTTTGCTCAAACCTGAGAAACCGTGGACTGATTTGGGGAATTCACTTCGACCTTTCTTCATTCTTGAATTTTGGAGCATCTTTATACATTCTTTTGCGAAAATTCCAGAAATTTCTAGGAATTTGGGGGCTGAAACCTATTCGAACAACATCTGCAATTTTCCAGCCGCTAAAACTAGCTTTACCCTGCTCATCCTTGGCTGCAATTCTTGATTCAAACTTGAACCACAAACCAATTGTTCCAGCCATGAGAATTAGTTCATTTAATGCTAGAAATCACACCTGATTCGTGCTTTGATAGGTGTTCATACAGCTAAATAGGAAACAACCAAGAACTGCAGTAGCTAAAAAAAATCCAAATCGAACTTGGATTACTAATTAGTTGAATCCGAAACTTGTTTGAACCATTCCTGTTTATTTATGATAAGAATATATTTTACGTATTTTTAGTGTATTTTATTTGTTAGTTTTGGTGTGTTTTATTTAGTTTTATAAATAATTAACAAAGATTCTAGTGAAAAAATGCATTTTAAGGTTTAAAATGTAAAAATTACATTTTTATGGATTTTTATGGTAAAAATTTCATATTTTGTAGGTTTAATGATTCAATCATCAAATGGAGATTATTGAGAAGATATTTGGATGATTGATGATGATTTAAAGTGATGAAAATAAAATATGAAGCGTAAAAGGAGAAATGCAATTTGAGGACAAAAGAATCAAACAAAAGTCAACTTTGGCATCTGTTGGTATTTTGGCTATATCTTGGGCTACATACATTGGATTGAGATGATCTTTATACCATTGTGAAGCTAATAGACGTATCTACATTTGGTATGAAGATATCAAAGTCCAATTCAGCCATTTTCATAGTCCAAAAGTTGAAATACCGAAATTCAACTCAGCTGTCCAAAGTTGAAAAGAGAGCTCTGACCAGGCTTTGGTATTTTGGTCATATCTCGGTCTAGAGAGCTCAAAATTGGATGATTCTTAAGGCATTGGAAAGCTAACTCAAAGGGCTATAACTTTTATGTTATGCACAAGAGTTAGTTCGGCCTTTATTATTGCAGAAATGGCATCTGAAGCATGCAGAACTCAAAATGCGGCTGTTCAATACGCGATTTCTAGTCGCGTATTCGCTTCTGAACGCTGCAAATTACTGATCAACTTGTCCTGCATTCACATAACATTTTCAACTCAATTCCAGCCAGAAATTCCAGCTGTATCTGATCAAGAAGAAGCTGGAAAGTTGGAAATACAACTCAAAAGGTTTCAAGAGTAAAAAATGACAATTAAAAACAACTCATTTGGCTCTTGAATTCTTCTATAAATAACAGCCTTGGAGAACCATTTTTATAACTTTGGAAGGCTAGAGAAACTCCACAAAATTGTAGTCTTCAGTCTTCACTAGTTTTTCTTAGTTCATTAGCATAGAGCAGTTAGTGTAGTTTATTCATCTTGTATTTGTAGTTAGATTTGGATGAAGATTGAGGAGCAAAGATGAAGAGGTTGATCTCATGTAACAAGAGTGATATCTCTTCTATTACTTTCTCTCTTGTATTGGATTTCATGTTTAATTATAATACAAGTTGGCTTTGTGTTTTTATTATGTTTAGTTAAAGTTTATGCCTAGAGTTATGGTTGAACTTGCTATATTTTTTTTGTGATGTTTACTTGGCTACTTGGTGATATTATTTTGAGCAAGTTATTTATCACTTTTGGTTATCTAATCATGATTAACTGGCCATTAATTATGATAATCTTAAGGTGTTAAGTTTGCAATGAAAATTGGAATTTAACACTAGTTCAAAGAAGTGATAAGCCTAGGGAGTACACTTACGAGGGTAGAGGTGCACCTATGTGGCTTTAGTGACTTGTTTCATGTAATTTCATAGAAGAAATGAGTTTGTAATTAATATCATAATGCCGAGAGTAGGTATGGTTTAGCTACAATTATAGTTGATTCACTACGGGAGTAGGTTTCACATACATTAGGAAATTACGCCATAACTAGCCAAGATAATAACATTCACTTAACTAGTATTCTCATTTGCAAGAGTAGTAAGAAATTCCATATCTCTAGGAGCTTTCTAGTGTTATTTTCATAAATTTTATATTTGTGGTAGTCTAAATAATAAAGGAGTTTGAAAACATCAGTAATTGCAATCTTCCCTGTGGGATCGACCCTTAATACCCTATACTCGCTCACGATTCGTATACTTGCGATAAATCGCGTGTGGGGTATTTAAGAGTTTATAAATGTAAAACTTGATTGGGATGAGTTTAATATTATATGTATACCCCGCGCACGTCAATTTAAACCATTAAACCAGCCTTGGAAAACCTTATTCCATTGGGCAAAGGGGATTGAACCAAACTTGTTTCTAGATATCACAATCCAAATAAATTTCTAGATTGCACAACCAGTCACGAATAGTCAAGAGTTAGGATCGAGTCACTTCGTTTCCGATTGCCTTGCCTCGAGTCTTTAGCCTTTCTTTTGTATCATTAATTAGCTTTCTTTTCTAGTAGTTCCAGCCATAAAATTCATCCTTAGAAGTCCAAAAATCATGTCCAAATTTCCAATGATTTAGGTCCTAAAGTTCGACCAAAATTTCCAGATTTTCAACTAATCTTGTGTCGCTACTTTGCTAGTTGTTTGAGTTGTTAATTAACAGTTTAATTCTAGTAATTTTTAGTTCAACATACCTCTTCAAAGTTCCAGTTTGTTTCATGTCTTCCATAGTACATTTAGGTATGATTTTTTGTCCATTTTGTTCCTTCAATTCAGCTTGATGTAATTGTCTCTTTGGTTCTTTCATTGCTGCAATTTTATTGTTGTTTGAATAAGTCAATTGGTAACTTGTGAGAAAGCTCTAAATTATTCAATAGGGGCAATTAGCAGGCTTGAGAACTTGTTTTTGTGAGCTTATTAGAGGGAATAGACACTTGAGTGATATATGAGGGTGAGTGAAACACATGAGGGAGTGCTGTGAGGATCTATCGTTGTGTTTTACTAACCTTTTTGCAGGTCACTAACAAAATGTCTAAGGAAAAAGGAAATTCACCATTTGACCATATCCGTTTCATAGAGGCTATGACTGCTCAAATGTGAAGGTTGATGAGGGAGGAGCTAGAACCTATTCAAGAGTGGATGGACCGAATAGAAAAATCTCATACTTCGACAAAATCCAGTCGTCATAGACTTACTCTCTCGGAGTCGGGTAATTCTAATGAGGAAGAAGAGGGGTTTGAGAGGCATTCTAAAGCTGACCTGCGTAACCCTAAGCGTGGAGATGATGTCATTAAGGATGTGAAACTCAAAATTCCTACATTCCAAGGGAAATCTGATCCCAAAACTTATTTGGAGTGGGAGAGGAAGATCGAGATGGTTTTTGAATGTCATAGTTACACGGAGGAGCAGAAAGTAAAACTTGCAGCCGTGGCGTTCAATGACTATGCATCGGTATGGTGGGATCAACTACGCCTTAGTCATAGAAGGAATCGTGAGAGGACTGTAGAGACTTGGGAGGAGTTACGAAGATTGATGAGAAAGAGATTTATGCCTAACTATTATCATCGGGAATTGCACGATCGATTACAAGCTCTTACTCAAGGCAATATCTCCGTAGAAGATTATTTCAAGGAGATGGAGACGGCCATGATAAGAGCTGATGTGCAAGATAATTTAGAAGCAATCATGGCGAGCTTTTTGCGTGGATTAAAACCAAAAATAGTTAAGGTAGTTGAGTTCCAACTTTACGTAGACATTAGTGAGATGTTGGATAAGGCTGTCAATGTGAAAAGGCATCTCAAGAGGAGGGGTAGTTGTGACGCCCCGAAAAAAAAAGAGTTTGAGAACCCGGAAATTTTCTAATTTTCTAGGGTTTATTTTATTTAATCGCCCGCCTTTTCTTCATTTTCTTTATTAGAAAAATTCCCCAGATAAAGTTTATGAGCAAAAATAGTTTTTAGATGATTTTTCTAGTATCGGTTAGATTTTGAGAAAATAAGAACGTATATCGGGCGTGGGACCCACTAGTGCGAAAAGTTCGGAAAAATTCGGCCAATAAGGTTAAGTTTCGGATACTGTGTGAAATTTATCGGGTGTTAAGAGATAAGTAGAGAGTGAAATTTGATTGATGTGAGAGGAAAAAGAAAGATAAGAATGCATTTAAGAGGTGACAAGTGTCACTCTCTTATTGGTTATACTTTATGATTTACTATTCATGTTTTTGACTTTTGACCAAAATGGTTAAATATCTTAAAAATTGCACAAAAATTACCATTTCTTACCTCCTCCATAGCCGGCCCTCTCTCTTGCCAAGAAGGAAGAAAACTTCTTCAAACTTCAAGCTTTCAACTAGCTCAAATCATCCAAACCAATTGCCTAAACTAGTTTCTACTCCATACAACCTTTCCATTTGGTGTTAGTGGTGAGTTTGGTGAAGTTTTTGGAAGAGCTAAGGTGGTCTACAACTCCTCTTCTCTTGTATACTAGGTAAGTGATGATTGAACATACTCCTACACCTAATGATGCTTAAGTTATGTTTAGTAGTGGCTAAAGTGATGATATTTGTGATTTATTTCTTGATTTGAAGTGATTTGGTGAAGTTTTTATATTTTTGAGGAATTTTCTGGTTTAATATGAATGTGATGTTGTGGTCATCTATGATGGTTGATAATGAGGGGGAATGACTCTAGTAGGTGTGAATTAGTGATAATTGCAACCAATTTTGGGTTTGGATTGAATTCTGGAAAATTAGGGTTCTTGGTTCTTCATTCTGTCCGAAATTTTTGATCCAAGATAGAGGCCGAATTGGCCTTGGCTCAAAACATGAAAGTTGTAGGTATTGATGTGTTTGAGGTGCCTATAAAATGTCAGGTCATTTGGAGCAGTGTAGAGTGAGATATGTCGATTTTACTGTTGCTGTTCTGGGTTGATCAGAATGTACGAACTGCGTCTGAAATGGGTTGTTTTGACTGGAATTGCTTCGGATTTGGTTGTTGAGGTCTTCTGATGAAATGTAGCTTGATGCCCTAGCTACCATATTCCTTTGGAATTTCTGCATTCGGACCTGTATAGACTGAGTTAGACTGATTACAGCATAGTGTAATTTGTAAACCTGCAATTACGGTTTTGGTTTGGTATTCTGCATATTTGACCTAGTTGTGCTGGGATTTGGACTGAGTGGCCTTCTACATTGTTGTAGCCCTGGTTCTTAGCTTCGAAATGGTGGGTCTTACACCCTAATCCGATAATCGTAGTGTAATTTGTGCCATTACCGCAAAATGACGTCAAAACTATTTTTCTGGTTTGAGCTAAACTTTCATTTCCGGACTTTTCCCTAGCTTGACTTGTACTAGTACTACTTGGAGCTTGCTGAATGGCTATTGGATGAACTTGTTGTTGTGTGTGTACCTTTGGGACTGGCTGAGGATATAATGAAGCCATGATGGCTGGAAAAGTAAGCAAATTCAGGGGAAGTGCTGTCCGAACTTTGAAGGGATTTGTTTGCATTGAGTTTGTGATCTAAGACTTGGATTTGAGCAAGGCAATGTTATATGCTGGATGATTTCTGAGCCGTGGAGGTGAGTGACCTCAAACTGTTTCAAATTTACTTTTGAACCGCTTTCCTGCATTATCTACTTTTGAACTGTTTTCAAAGTTACTTTTGGAACTGTTTTCTTACATATCATGCGTGCTTGCATATTAGTGTCTTCTTATTATCGATTTTGCTTTCAATGATTGTTAAAACGAGTTTTCTAGGCGAGTGTGTACTTTATCGCACTCGACCTTAATAAATATGAAATTTTCAATGATTAGTGATTAAATGCTACTTGCGCATAAATGTAAGCCTTTTGGGCTGAACTGGCCATTGCCCCTTGTTACCGGTCGTCTCGAGCCAGAAACGGACTCGGTCGGGCGACTAGGAACTTGGGTGAACGTTTCGGTATACTCGAGTATTACCTTGTAGGTTGGTGGAGCCTGGCCAAAAGCCAGGGACGGGGTGAATGAATGCACGAATGAAACCAAATGAAATGAAAGGACAGGAGAACGAATGTATCCTTTTCATGAATGTTACTATCGCTTTCCATTGTAAATGTTTCGTGAATTATTGAAACTCCATATTGAAATGACATCATTGAAATGAACTATTGTTAAACAGATTTGATTACTGATTTTACTGGTTACTCGCTGAGCTTCTAGCTCACCCCAAAATGTTTTATTCCCCTCCACAGGGCTCAAGGCGAAGGAAGGGCTTGTAGTGTTTAATCCTGGATTATCTCATGTATGGATTGAATTTGGATTTCCTTTTGTGTAATCATTCATATCGGGATTGTATTGAACATTTAGAATTGATTGGATATGTAATAGTCTAGTTTTGGACTTCCTCCTGTATACTAAATGTGTTCAAGGATCAGAGTGGCGCTGCGGAAGCGTGGACGCTTCGCTTTTGATATGTAAAGTTTGGGAACCTTTGATGTATATTTGATATATATATCTTGAAATTCAATTGAGGATTGTAGTGAACGACTGAGTCCCGGCGAGAGCCGGGCAGGCGGCCCGCCGAACCCTGGGGTACGCCCTAGGGGGAGGTGGGGTCGTGACAGTAGTGCACGCCAAAATACCAACTACCAAGTTGAAAATGGGAGGAATTCTCAGCCTAGAAGAGAGGAGGAAGCCACGGCCTCCACCTCACAACCAAGGCCAAGAACTACCACTCTAAAGCTGGTTCCAAAGGTAGACACTAAAGCTGTCCAAAAAGTTTCTAAATCACATAATCGGGATAAGAAGTGCTTTAAGTGTCAAGGATTTGGGCATATAGCTTCTCAATGTTCTAACCAACGTGCCATGATTGTTTTGCCAAGTGGAGAGGTTATGACTAATGATGAGAATGAATATAAGGATATGCCACCGTTAGTTGAAGAAGATGGTGAATTGGATGAGGAACAACCCGTGGATGGACCAATAGGTTGTTTGGTTATGTAAAAAAACTTGCTGCCCAAGTCAACAATGACAATATCAGCGTGCAAAGAGAGAATATCTTCTACACTCATTATTTAATCATGAACCAAGTGTGTAGTTGATAATTGATAGTGGGAGTTGTACCAACGTAGTAAGTTTGCTTATGGTTAAGAAGTTGGGTCTTTCTACTAACAAACACCCTAAAACATATCAACCACAATGGTTTAATAAAGGTGATGATGTGTGTGTTCAGACAAGTTTGAGTGTCATTTTGCATTACTAATTATGAAGATGAAGTGATAGGTGATGTGGTGCCAATGCAAGCAAGTCACGCGATCTTAGGTCGTCCTTGGCAAATCGACAAAGTTGTCAATTTGGACAGACAAGCTAATAAGTATTTCTTTATGCATGGTGACAGAAAGATCACTTTTGTTCCTCTTACTCTTGGACAAGTGCATGAGGATCAAGTGAGATTACATGAGGAATACAAGTTACAAAGTGAGCTAAGAAAAAAGGAAAGGAATAGGGAGGGATAGTTGGAGAGCTTGGCCGAGAATGGTGAAGAGGGAAAAGCTCTTGTCTGCTAGACTAAAGGAGTGAACAAAGCTAGGAAATATAGCTTGTTTACTAACATATTTGCTACTAGTTTTGTGAGAACTCGTATTTTCCCTAATAAGTTTCCTAGGATTTTTCCCCTTTAATTGCATGTTTTCTGCATTTTCTGGTTTAGGAAAATTTTCTTGGTGGATTTTATGAGTAATTATAGTTTTTAGATGATTTTTCTAGCATTGAGTAGTTTTTGAAAAATTACGGATAGATTATGGACGTGGGCCCCACTAGTGCGAAAAATTCGGAAAAATTCGGCCAATAAGGTTAAGTTTCGGATACTGTGTAAAATTTATCGGGTGTTAAGAGATAAGTAGAGGAGGTGAAGTGATTGATGTGAGAGGTGACCAAAGGATAGAAATACATTTAAAGAGGTGCCAAGTGTCACAATATCATTGGGTGGACTTTATGGAACACTATTCATGTTTTTGACTTTTGACCCATTGGTTAAATATCTTAAAATTACCACCAAAAATCACCATTTCTTGCTCCTTGGTGGCCGGCCCTCTCTATCAAAGAAGAAAGAAAAACTCTTCCAAGTTTAGCTACCATTTAGTGCCAATCATCCAACTCAAGTGCTTAAACTAGTTTCTACTCCATAAAATTCCTCCATTTGGTGTTAGTGAGTGTTTTGGTGAAGTTTCTTTGAGAAGCTAAGGTGTTCTACAACTTCCTCTCTCTTGTTTACTTGGTAAGTGGTGCTTACACTTCCTCTTACACCTAATGATGTTTAATTTGTGCCTAATGGTGGCTATAGTGTTGAAAATTGTGGTTTATTTCTTGGTTTGGAATGAATTGGTGAAGTTTTCATTTTTTTGAGGAATTTTCTGGTTTAATGTGATCATGGTGTTGTGGTTATTTATGATGGTTGGTAATAAGGGGTTATGCCTCAAGTGGATGTATATGATAGGAAATTGCAATCAATTTTGAGTTTGGATTGAAATGTGAAAAGTTAGGGTTTCATAACCCCCTTTTCTGTCCGGTTTTGGATCATATGGTTAGATGCCGAATTGGCCTTTGCCTAAAACATGAAAGTTGTAGGTATTGATGTGTTTGAGATGCCTGTAAAATTTCAGGTCATTTGGAGTAGTGTAGAATGAGATAGGTCGTTTTTACTGATGCTGTTCTGGGTGATCAGAATGTACGAACTGCGATTGTAATCGTCTGTTTTGACTGGAATTGCTCTGGATTTGGATGTTGGTGTATTCTGATGAAATGTATCTTGATGTCTTATCTCTCATATGCCTTTGGAATCAATGCATTTGGACCTATGTAGACTGAGTTGGACAAATTACAGCATTGTGTGATTTGGGAACCTGTAATTACGGTTCTGGTTTGGTATTCTGCCTTTTTGACCTAGTTGTGCTAGGATTTGGACTGAGTGGCCTTCTACATTGTTGTAGCCCTGTCTTTTAGCTTCGAGATGGTGGGTCTTTTACCCTCATCCGATAAGCGTAGCGCATTTTGTACCATTACCGCATTAGGAGGCCAAAACTGTTTTTGTTGTTGGGACAAATGAGTTCCATTTCCTGATTTTCTGGTTTGCTTATATGCTTATATATGCATAGGAAACCCTTTTGGGGTTGTTATTGGCATGGCTTTGTGACTCGTTATCGAGTCTTATGGTAATTGTTTACATGTTCTAGGGCGTGACGTTAGTGCACGACGTACTTTGGACGGCGGTGCATGAAACCTCACTTACTTAATTGGTGAGTATACTACTCACTTGAATGTTATAATGTGGCTTTGTTATATGTGCTTGTGATTGAAGGCTTGTTTGGCTGTTGGAAATGATTAAGGTGAGGGTGTACTTGACCGCCCTCATCCTTTTATCCTGTAAATGACTGTTTAATGTTTCACTGTATTACTGCACTGCTATATTGAGTTAATGGATTCCATTCATGGAATATTGTTTGGGTGTCGGTTGGACGAGTATCCAACGGCCCTACTGTACTACTGAGCTCGACCCCGTTGGTAATCACTTGAATCGAGCCAGCGAGGGCTTGATCGTGAGAAGTGACTAGCCACGGGGACTGAAGTGGGAATCTTGTGGTAATGAGACCCTTGGTTCCGGTGCACTCGAGTATCACCTAAAGTTACTGCTTAGAGTGCGGGCCCGGTTGGGGTATGTTGGGTGGAAGGAATGGAAGTGAAGAGAGGTCTACGGTTTGGTACTTTTAACATTGACGGAGGGTCAATGAAGTTGGATCAAGAATGTACGCGTGGAAATGGGCTCTTGAGAGCCGTCCGTATCCTTTTACCTATTTGTTTTGCTTCTTATTGGTATACTTGAAATGAACGGTTATGTTTATGTGATCTTGGATGCTTATGTGATAGTTGCTCACTGAGCTTTAGCTCACTCCATTCCATTTGTTTTCCTTACAGGAAAATGATCATTTTGGAAGATCATACTTGTTGGTTGCCAAATTGAGCCATGTATATGTCTATTTTGAGTAGCTCTTTGCATGAAACCCTAATGTGTATTGGGTTCATCTTTTGATTGGCAAACCGAATATGTGTATCTATGATGAATAGCCTTTGACATGCCAATGTGGTTGTAAATGTTGAATTTCAATGTATTTATGTCTGGTTGATGTTTGGTTGACTTTCGGATCGATTCGGCTTGCAAACGGCAAAAGAAAAATTTTTGACGGAAAGGCACTGGACTGAATCCGGCCAGGAATCCGGCCAAAAACTGGCCGGATTGTCGGCCGGATTGCTTGGGAAAAAAATTGAATCCGGAAGTTCGCCACTGGACAGTATCCGGCCGCTAATCCGGCCAGATTCCGGCCGGATTCTGCTGTTCCAGGCACTATTCTTCGTTTTCGTTTTTTTTTTTTGTTATTTTGGTACTTGTGGCTTGTCCGAGCGCGCTTTTACTTTCCCGAAACGTTTTAGATCGCTAGTGCTAGTCCTTCGGGAGTGAGACCTCACAGAGCACTCCCCGTGATCCCATATCAGATACAACCGGGAGGGGCCGTTATTCGTTGGAGCCCGTCTAACCGTCTCCGACGGTGCGCGTGTAAGGAGAAGTATGCCTACCCGAACGCCCTCGTGTTTGCTCTGGATAAGGAGCGTAAGGTGTTGGCTAGAGAGAATGCTCGACTTGAGGTCGATGCAATCCAGGGTAGAGCGACTAACGAGAAGCAAGCTGCACGTATTAAAGAGCTAGAATACGACGTGCTTGAGGCCGAGGATAGAGTTGACGACCTCTGCGCTCAATTAAGGGAGGCACGAGAGCGCGAGATTAAGCGAGCTCGTAAGGTCAGGGGTCGCGCTGAGTCGATCCTTAATCTGTGTGACGACGGCCTTGAGGAGTATAGTGATGAAGCTTCGTGTGCGGGGGCCGAGGCTGGGGAGGAGTCTACCCCGTCGCCTGGGTCCCAGACTCCGGCAACTGACTAGGCCTTGACTTCTAGGCTTCTTTTGGGATAGTTTGGTGGTTTTTGTATGAACATAGGGATAGGAATAGAGCCTTAGCTAATCGTTTTGGTTGTTTGGATTAGCTACGTGTAAATTTCTTTTGATAAGGCCATTCCTCGGGGAATCGTCTATGTTTTTCTGACTTGCCTGTACTTGGCTCGACTGATTGTATATATGTGTGTGGCTTGATCTTGCTTGGTTGTATATATATGTTTGTGATCATGTTTGCAATGTATAAGTATGTGTTATTGTGCAAGTGTTGCGGATTACTTACATGCCTTGTCATTACTTTTGCTTAGTACTCTTGCTTAGACCAAGACCAAGTAAAACTTATGGAAGGTACTCGGAGTGGTCGGGGACGTGGGCGCGGAACTAGACAACCCACACCGGTTAGGGGTACGGGGGAAACCTCGACTGGACCTGATCCTGAACCCCAAGCTGACCCTAACGTGCAGATAGCTGCTGCTATGCAGCAAATGACAAACTTGCTAGCACAAGTAGTGCAGCAACAAGCCCAGAACCCAAATCCTAACCCTGGAAACCCCGGAAACCCTGGCCATCATGTCGAGAGCGAAGATAGAGCTCTCGAACGCTTCCAAAAGTTCGCTCCGCCGAAGTTTGTTGGGGGACCCGACCCGGACGTTGCCGAAAGATGGCTTGAAAAGATGGTTGATATATTTGCAGCCTTACATTACCCTGATGAACGGCAGGTGACGTTTGCCGTGTTTCAGCTTGAGGGGGCAGCCCGTTCCTGGTGGAACGTGATCCGACAGAAATGGGAACTGGAGCAGACGCCCAGGACTTGGGTGAACTTTATTCGAGAGTTTAATGCGAAGTTCTTCCCTCCTCTAGTCCAAGAGAGGAAGGAGGACGAGTTTATTAGGCTCCGCCAAGGGACTCAGACGGTGGCGGAATATGAGAGTCAATTCACCCGCTTGTCCAAGTTTGCGCCTGAGTTAATCATGACTGAACAACGACGGATTAGGCGCTTTATTCAGGGTTTGAATGTTGAGATCCAAAAAGACCTCGCGGTGGCTCAAATCACTGCGTTTAGCGAGGTTGTGAAAAAAGCCCAACGAGTTGAAAGTGCACGGTTGCAGGTCCGGAACTTCCAGGCGAAGAAGCGTGGCTTTCCTGGGAGTAGTTCTGGACAGGGTGAGAAGAGCGCTCCTGCTAAATTTGGACGAGGAACGGGAGGTGGTCGACAATCTGGTTCTGGTAGAGGGACTCCATTCAGGGGTGGCCAAGCTGGGCGAGGACCAAGGGGAAATGCTCAGAGTGGCTCGGCTTCAGCACCTCGCGGTCCCTGCGGGCATTGCGGGAAGTCAAACCACACCGAAGACAACTGCTGGAGGAAACAGGGTAAATGTCTGCGATGTGGAAGCGCGGACCACCAATTGGCTACTTGCCCGGTCCTGAAACAAGATGGAAAGGGAAGCCAACCATCGCCGAGGACCAATACTGGACCAGCGAAGGGAGATGGGTCCAAACCGAAAGTGCCAGCTAGGGTGTACTCCTTAGAGCCCCATCAGGTCCCAGAGTCTTCGGAGGTCATAGAAGGTACGATCCCTATTTTCCACCGCTTTGCCAAAGTTTTAATTGATCCTGGTGCCACTCATTCGTTTGTTAACCCTGATTTCATGTGTGGCATCGATATAAAACCTGCTAGTTTACCATATGACCTAGAAGTTAGTACACCCACGGGGAATCAACGTTTGGTGACTAGTATGGTTTATAAGGATTGTGAGGTCTGGGTAGGTGAAAAGAGATTTTTAGGAGACCTGATAAGCTTGTCCATTAAGGGGTATGACGTGATTTTGGGTATGGACTGGCTAGCCAAATATAACGCTCAATTGGATTGTAAAACGAAGGTGGTAGAATTTCACATTCCTGGCGAGGCAACATTAAGGTTGGATATAAGGGGTAGGTTAGCCTCATCTGCTTTAATTTCGGGCATTCGAGCTAGGAAACTGATAAGTAGAGGGGGCAAGGATTTTTGGCCTTTTTGATTAACACCCCTACGGATAAGTTAAAAGTGGAAGACGTGGCCGTAGTGAGGGAATTTCCAGATGTTTTCCCTGATGAGTTAGTAGCTTTACCTCCAGAACGGGAGATAGAATTCCAAATAGATCTGTTACCTGGAACCTCACCTATCTCAAAAACCCCTTACCGAATGGCGCCTGCGGAACTTAAGGAGCTTAAGTTGCAATTACAAGATCTTTTGGAGCGGGGATTCATTCATGAGAGTGGGTCTCTTTGGGGAGCTCCTGTCCTATTTGTGAAGAAAAAGGACGGAACCTTGAGGATGTGTATTGACTATCGGGGTCTGAACAATGTTACGATCAAGAATAAATATCCTCTGCCCCACATCGACGAGTTGTTCGACCAGCTGCAAGGAGCAGTGGTCTTCTCAAAGTTGGACCTTCGACAAGGCTATTATCAGTTGTTGATTAGAAAGGAGGATATACCGAAAACTGCTTTCAACTCGAGATATGGGCATTTCGAGTTTGCCGTTATGCCCTTTGGACTGACTAATGCTCCTGCCGCCTTTATGGATCTAATGCATAGGGTTTTCAAACCCTATCTAGACCGATTTGTCGTTGTGTTCATTGATGACATCTTGGTCTACTCTAAGACACGCGAGGAGCATGAGGAGCATTTGAGAGTGGTGTTGCAGACGTTAAGGGAACATCAGTTGTACGCCAAGTTTAGTAAATGCGAGTTTTGGTTGGAGAAGGTAGCATTCCTAGGGCACGTAATCTCCCACGAAGGTATCTCGGTGGACCCGACAAAGGTAGAGGCCGTGACAAATTGGAAGAGACCAAAAACTCCCACGAAAATTCGTAGCTTTCTAGGGCTAGCTGGGTACTACCGCCGTTTCATTAAAGATTTCTCCAAACTAGCAGGACCTTTAACTGACCTGACAAAGAAGCATGGTCGATTTCTTTGGAATGCCCGATGCGAAACAAGTTTTCAGGAATTAAAGAGAAGATTGACCACGGCTCCAGTACTGGTCTTGCCAAATGGAGTAGACGGGTTCGCGGTGTATGCAGATGCGTCGCGAGAAGGCCTAGGGTGCGTTTTGATGCAGAACCGTAATGTAATTTCTTTTGCCTCTAGGAAATTGAAGCTTCACAAGCAGAATTACCCGACCCACGATCTGGAACTAGCCGCGGTTGTGTTTGCTCTGAAAAAGTGGAGGCATTACCTATACGGGGTGACCTTTGAAGTGTACTCGGATCATAAAAGTCTTAGGTACCTTTTCTCCCAGAAGGAACTGAACATGAGGCAACGACGTTGGATGGAATTTTTGGAAGACTACGACTGCACAATCAACTACCATCCGGGAAAGGCAAATGTGGTAGCCGATGCCTTGAGTCGTAAGGTGCAAGTAGCAGGGTTGATGATTAAAGAGTGGGATTTATTAGAATCTGTGTGTGAGTGGAGACCCTGTCTTGGGAGCCATAAGGTGCTATTTAGCAATGTTAGGGTAACCTCCACTCTACTGGAACGCATTAAAGAGGCGCAAAACGAAGATTTGATGGTAAAGAAGTGGAGAGAGAAAGTGGAGAAGGGAGAAACAACGGACTTCAATTTGAGTCCTGAGGTTATTTTGAAATATTGAAACCGAATAGTGGTACCGAAGGAGGAATCGTTGAAAACGGAAATTCTGGAAGAAGCCCATCGGTCCAAGTATACAATCCATCCGGGCAGCAGCAAGATGTATCAGGACCTGAAAGGAACCTATTGGTGGGACAATATGAAGAGGAAAATCGCCCAGTACGTGCAAAAGTGTCTCATTTGCCAGCAGGTGAAAGCAGAGCATCAAAAACCATCGGGTCTGTTACAACCCTTGGAGATACCCGAGTGGAAGTGGGAAAATATCACAATGGACTTCGTTTCCGGTTTACCGAGGACACAAAGAGGACACGATGCCGTTTGGGTGATCGTTGATCGCTTAACCAAGTCGGCCCATTTCTTGCCGGTGAACATGAAGTATTCCATGGACAAGTTGGCCCAACTGTACATGGACGAGATAGTAAGGCTACATGGTGTTCCTGTGAGCATCGTCTCCGATCGTGATCCACGGTTTGTATCTCGACTTTGGCAGAAGTTTCAAGAAACCCTGGAAACTAAACTCAATTTGAGCACGACCTATCACCCTCAGACGGATGGACAGTCAGAGCGGACAATTCAAACTCTCGAGGACATGCTACGAACTTGCATTTTGGATTTCGGAGGCAACTGGGGTCAACACATGACTTTAGTAGAGTTTGCGTACAACAATAGCTTCCATTCGTCGATTCAGATGGCTCCATACGAAGCTCTCTACGGACGCAAATGCCGCTCGCCGATTTACTGGGACGAAGTTGGCGAAAAGAAAGCATTAGACCCAGGAAGTATCCCATGGATGGAAGAGGCTCAAGAGAAAGTCAAGTTAATACGGCAACGACTTCAAACAGTCCAAAGTCGATAAAAGAGCTACGCGGATAATCGAAGAAAAGACTTGGAGTTTGAAGTTGGAGACCACGTATTCCTCAAGATCACACCCTTACGAAGTATTACAGCGGGCAAAGGAAAGAAGCTTCAACCACGATACGTCGGACCCTACAAGATCTTGCAGAGAGTAGGAGCGGTCGCGTATCGATTGGAACTGCCATCCAGTCTCTCTCGAGTTCACGATGTGTTCCACGTCTCGATGCTCAAGAAGTATCATCCCGACCCATCCCATGTCTTACGACCAGAGGAGATCAAAGTAGATGAATCACTTGCTTACGAAGAGAAACCTGTCCAAGTGCTTGACCGGAAAGTCAAAGAGCTCAGAACCAAGCAGATTCCGTTAGTAAAAGTGCTATGGAGAAACCATGGGTTAGAGGAAGCTACTTGGGAAGTGGAGGAAGAGATGCGGAAGAA